TCATTTTCAATTCCTTATCAAGAATCAGTTCCAATAATTTATTTTGAGTTATAGTAAAATTGAAATTATCTTCTGATGAAAAAGTATATTTCAGATCAATGAATTTCTTTTGCATAGATCTTCTGTTGATGGATAATAAAATTCAAGACATTCTGTCAAACTTGTGTTCAGTGCTGACATTTTGCAGATATTATCAAGATCATTTACTTCATTAATAATTGTTGGCATGAGTTTCATATATTCTCTTCCAATACTTTCATGATTTTTGTAGCTTTTGATTGGTTTAGTTTTGTTTTTACATTTGAATCTTACCATCTGGAATTTATTTTAGTGTAAAGTGAGAAGAATGAATCTAAATTTATTTTATTGCAAATCTTAGCCAGCTGTCTCAAAACACATACCATATAAACCTAGGCTTTTTCCATTGATCTGAAATGCCATATGCTAGATTTTCAAGTGGATCCTATGATCTATTTCTGGAATCTATATTGTTTTTATTGATCTACCTATTAATGATAGGTTATGTTTTTATATCAAATTCAAATTGCACATTTACTAAGGAATTTCTGTGTTATCTGTGCATTTATCAAGTTGCAATGAAAATTATTTGCTAGTGTCCCATGATGTTCTTTCATGTTATAAACCAGTTCTTGTATACATTGAGCCAAGATATTATTGAAAAGTTACTTTAACTACCTTCTCTGATTCATATTCTGTCAAAATTTCCAAGCAAACATCTTTTAGAAATTGTTATTTACTCTCAATCTATTATAAGTCTATAAATTTGATACAATTGAGGTAAAAATTCCAGTTGTCAATTTTTGAGCTTGACAAAATACTCTTAAAGTTTATCTAGAAGAAAAAAATACTTGGAAAACACCCAATTTTGTAAAAGAATTATGATGAAAGAGGACCTTCATTACCAGATGTAAAACATGATGAAAATAGGAATAAAGAGGTATTTTTTCGGCTTCATTGCCAACAAACACAGGGAGTTTATTATTATTATAACATACAAAACTTATACATTATACCCGTATTGTCAGCAAATGAGATTTGAAGTTTTTGTGCAGGAGCACGTTCTGATGACACTGTTGCAGTTACCGGAAAACATTCTAGAGTAGTTATCAGAATTAAGGAGCTTGTGCTAGAGTGTAAGTTCACTCATTGCATCTTTCTAGAAGTCTAACTTCAGAAAAGAATCAGTTGAGCTAAAGACTAGTACAAATTTTTTAAAAATTGACTTATGTAAAGGCAATGTGTCATATGCAAGAATATCCTCTTTATGATGTGGTAATATTGAAAGTGATAAATTCCTGTTGTTGCGTGCTGAGGTGAAGTACTCGTGTTTATCAGGGGAAAAGTTCTGGTGAGAAAGTCCGAATTCCTGGTGTTCCTGCAAGATAAGAAGCCAGTTAGGTCTAAGCTCTTTGAAGAGTTCTCAACTTTTTGAAGATATGAATTAGACTGACTTGCCTATTGGTCTGATATCTTTGGTATTTTTATGGGTCATAATCCTCCCTGTAAGAAATAAATGCAACTTGGTTTTTAAAGGTAAGTAATGCCAAAGGCTACCTGGCTATCCCACAGGCACCTCAAATTCAGCATTCCACAATCAAATTCATTACTTTTCCCCCAAACCTGTCCTTCCTCCTCCTTTTCTTTTTCTTTTTTTTTTTTTGGTGCTAATTGTTATCACCGTCTACCTTAATTACCTAAATCCAACACCTGAACATCAGCCTTAGCCTCTCCTTTGCTTTACTTTTATATCCAGTCCCTCTTCAAGTTAGGTTTTTAATTCCTTATCATCTCTCCTATAAGCTCCATCTAGTGGCCCTGGTTGCTTCTGCCTTGGGTAGGTCCTGATCGTCTCTACATTGGACTTCTAGCACTTCATTGAGCAGCCCATTGATCTGGTGGCTGCCAGAATACTCTTTCCAAATGCAAATATCTTCACATTAGGTTCCTACTGAAGGCCTTTTATGAGCTTTCCTTTACCCATAGGAGAAATTCTAAAGTCTTTAGAGTGGCATTCAAAGCTCTCCACAATCTGGCATTTCTCCAGCCTCAGATCTTTACACCCTCCTGGCATGCCTCACTCCAGCTATACCTGACCACTTGGAGTGCTTGGAACCCTGTTTTGCTTCATGCTTTTCACTCACATTAGAATTCTCTCCCACCATTTTTGGGGGAGGATCTATTAATAATTCTCTTTCAATATTTAGTCCAACAAACCTGCAAGCATCATGTTACCTGACTTCAAAGTATACTACAGGTCTACAGTAACCAAAACAGCATGGTACTGGTACAAAAACAGGCACATAGACTAATGGAACAGGTAAGAGAGACCAGAAATAAGGCCACACATCTGCAAACATCTTATCTTCAACAAAGCTGACAAAAACAAACAATGGGGAAAAGACTCCCTGTTCAATAAAAATGGTTCTGGGATAACTGGCTAGCCATATACAGAAGATTGAAACTGTACCCCTTTCTTACACTGTTTACAAAAATCAGCTCAATATGGATGAAAGACTTAAATGTAAAACCCAAAACTATAAAAACCCTGGAAGACAACCCAGGCAATGCAATCCTGGACATAGGATGGGCAAAGATTTCATGAAAAAGACACCAAACGCAATTGCAACAAAAGCAAAAATTGATAAGTGGCATCTAATTAAACTTAAGAGTTTCTGCACAGCAAAAGAAACTATCAACAGAGTAAACAGCCTGCAGAATGACAGAAAATATTTGCAAACTATGCATCTAGCAAAGGTCTAATATCCAGCATCTATAAGGAACTTAAACAAATTTAGAAGAGAAAAACAACCCTATTAAAAAGTGGGCAAAGGACATGAATAGGCACTTTTCAAAAGACATATGTGTGGCCTAGAAGCATATGAAAAGAAGCCCAATATCACTGATCATTAGAGAAATGTAAATCAAAATGACAATGAGATACCATCTCACACCAGTCAGAATGGCTACTACTAAAAAGTCAAAAACTAAAAGTTGCTGGTGAGGTTGTGGAGAATAGGGAACACTTTTACACTGTTGGTGGGAGTGTAAATTAGTTCAACCATTGTGGAAAGCAATATGGTGATTCCTCAAAGAGCTAAAAGCAGAATTACCATTTGACCCAGCAATCCCATTACTGGGTACATACCCAGAGAAATATAAATCATTCTACCATAAGGACACGTGAACGTGAATGTTCACTGTAGCACTATTCACAATAGCAAAGACACGGAATCAACCTCTAAATGCCCATCAGTGAGAGATTAGATAAAGAAAATGTACATATACACCATGGAATACTGTGCAGCCATACGAAAGAATGAGATCATGTCTTTTGCAGGAACATGGATGGAGCTGAAGGCTATTATCCTTAGCAAACTAATGCAGGAACAGAAAACCAAATACCACATGTTCTCACTTATAAGTGGGAACTAAATGATGAGAACTCATGAACACAAAGAATAGAACAGCAGACACTGGGGCGTACTTAGGAGTAGAGGGTGGGAGGAGAACAAGGAGCAGAAAAATAACTATTGGGTGCTAGGCTTAATACCTAGGTGATGAAATAATCTGTACAACAAACCCCTGTGACCTGAGTTTGCCTATACAACAAGCTTTCAGATGTATCCTCGAACCTAAAATAAAAGTTTTAAAAAAAAATTAGTTCAAACTTACTACCTTTAGGTAAGAGAGGTGTTGCCTGTCTTCATCCACCCATTTTCCCACATAATTAACTCTTCTTCCTTCTACTCCTATTGTGGATCCCTTACTTTCTACTACAACACTCACACAAATACAACCATTTGTTTACTTGCTTCCCTAATAGACTGGAAGTTCCTTACATCAGGGACCTTGTCTTTTATTTGCCAGTGTCTAGCAATGCCACTACTATTAGGAGCTCTGTAATTTTTTTTTTTTTTTGAATGAATAAACAAGGGAGAAGGTTCAGAGGCGTGATGGAAAGGGTTTGCAGAGAATGCAATAGTGTTAAAGCTGGTCAGGAGGAAGACACATGGGGCAATATGGTAATGAGAGATGGGAACGACTGGTTTACTGTGGGGGACTTGTCTGTGTATGATGGTTAAGAGTCATGGGAATAACTAGTTTTAAATATCTGACTAGAACCCTGGTATAAGGTTATTCTGTTGCTGCAGAAGTGCAGGTACTACCTGAAGTCAAATGAAGTTTACTGGATGTCATTCAATTTGCAAGTATTAGCGCGCGCACACACACACAATTTTTGTACTAGCAACACTGCATTTGTCTAGTGCTTTACATTACCCAAAGTTCTTTTATTTCCATTATCTTATTTGACCCTTAAAACAGTTATCTCCCTCAGCTTCAGTTTCCTTATTCTTCGGATTGTTTGCAAGATGTGTTATATATCTGATACACAGTTAAATACCAAATATGTTATCATTACATCAGGAATTTGAGGCTCATAATAGTTAAATGACTTGCTCAAGGTCAGAAAAGTAAGTTAGTGGCAGATTTAGACATAGAGTCTGGATTATTTTTACTGCACTAGAGTACAGTGAGATACTATCTTCTACATTACTTGAGGTGCAACATCTTTAATTTCCTTGAGAGACTTACCCCAAAGCAGGCTTTGGGATGACTCTATCAGAGCTGATTATCAAATGTAAGCAAAATCTACCTCCTGGATAAACCAAAATGCAAATATAAATAATAATTTTTATACCTTGTATTGCTTCCTAATCTCCATCTTTTACACTTAAGGGTTTTCAGCAGAGAATCTGAGCAGGATAGCTTCTTGCCCTTGTGAAGTTTTGTGGAGATTTTAGTTGCTCTTTAAAATACTGCTTTTGAGTCCAGTTTTATGGTAGAGCAAGTATCAGTTTGGGGTTTTCGGCCCTAGAATTAAGGTACCAGACATCTGAAGTGAGTACTGGAACACAAAGACAATAATTGTGCTCTGTAGACACTGACAATCACACCCATATGTCTGTGGTTTTTTACAGAGTTCTGCTGAGGAAGAATCTGAAGCCATAAAATGTGAACTAGAGATGAAAGTATTAAGTGAAACTGTTTCAGCAGGTATTCTAAATTACATTTTAATAATTTAACTTTGTTGAGATTTTCTTCTTACAGAAGAAATACAGGATCATGGTTTAAAATATTCAGACATTGCAAAAATATATTTAAAGTGAAAATTCTTCATAGTCCCTTTTCTAACAGTGTTAACAGATTTCTTTGCTCAATTTATCCCTGTCTCTCTTAATTTCTGATAAAACCATGGGATTATATTATACAAATGTTTTTGTTGAGAATACTTTTCTCCCACCTAACAATAAGTTACATACATAGAACTCAATATATATTTCATATAAATGAATATTAAACATTATTCTAAGAATACATTGGTAACCTCACTTTTTAAAGTAGTTGTATAATTCCATCCAATAATGGAACACTATTTAAATCCCTATTGATAGGTTGTTTCTAATTTTCTATTATTACAATGTTGTAATGAACTTTCACAAGTGCACATACACAACTGAAAGTCTCTCAACGATTCTGGGTATTCACAAGTGTTTGCATTCAGTCTAGTCCTGGCAAATAGCAGTTGGATATAGTTTAGAAATGTCAAGGAAACGTGATTTAGAAATGTGACGTCTAATTTGTCAGTCTTTTAGTTTGAGATTTATATACATCTTTTCTGTTAACTTTATGTTTCTTTCCCAATAACGTCTAGGAATCTATTTTCTATATATTTCTTAGCATATTTTTTCATAACAGGCCTTTTCTCCTTCACTTTTTCTTTCTACTTCTTCTTTTTTTTTTTTTTTTTTTTGAGATGAGATCTTGCTCTGCTGCCCAGTAGTGGTGCGGATTATGGCTCACTGCAGCCTCAACTGCCCAGGCTCCAGTAATTCTCCCACCTCAGCCTGCTGAGTAGCTGGGACCACACAGGCATGCACCACCAGGCTAGCTAATTTTTTTAATTATTTGTTGAGATGGGGTCTTGCTATGTTGCCCAGGCTCATCTTAAACTCCTAGTCTCAAGTGATTCTCCCACCTCAGCCTCGCAAAGTACTGGGCATGAACCACTGCCCCAACCTGTTTTCATTTTAATAATAACACAAGCTTATTGTATGGTTTTGTAGATGAAATAAAAATTGTGTCCTCCCCTATGCCCCACCATTACCCATGCCTATTTCCACTTCCAAGGTCAGCTCTATGAATCATTTTGAGTTAACCACTTTTTGAAAAGTCTTAGTAGCTAGTTGAATAGAAACATCCTTTACCAGTATTAGAATTTTAAAATTTCTTTCCTAAGAGCATACTAAACTGTAATCTATTTGAAACCTGTTAATCTGATTAATTTTAGCACAGTTGTTGCTGGTAGAGAATTCTTCTGAAAAGCCAGATTTCTTTGAAAACGATATGGTGGATTTATTCCAGTTCACAACTCTGGGTGGAGTATACCACTTGGATATTTTGGAGCTTCCTCCACAGTGTAAACCAGTGAAGGGATGGATGATTGTGGAAGTAGGTTGATGCTTGAATCAAAACTTATAAGTAAAATAATTGCTCATGCTTTTACTTTATTTCATATTATCTAACATCTAAGTTTTAACCCTATTAAACAAACACAAAGGAAAAAATGTAATTTTAAACTGTCTTAAATGTATTGGTATTGAAAATTTGAATCAGATACTAAAAGAATGTAAAATAATGTGAAGTTTATACTAGAATTCATATATGCTAACCTCATTGTAAATTTACATCATTATGTTTTGTTAGTGCCAATTTTGTCTTAATAATAAGACATAATAGATCAGAGGTTGGCAAACTTTCTCTGTAACAGGCCAGCTGGTAAATATTTTCACCTTTGCGGTCCCTACCATCTCTGATGTAACTACTCAACTCAGCCATTGCAGCACTAAAACTGCTGTGTATAAACCAATGGGCACAGCTATGTTCCAATAAAACTTTATTTACAAAAATCGGTGGTGGATGGGATTTCCCAGGGATGGTAGTTTGCGGACTCTAGTCTAAATCAGTGGTTGTCAATATGCGTTCCCTCGAGCAGAGGCATCAGCATCCTCTGGCATCATCTGGGAATTTGCTAGAAATGCAAATTAATGAGCCCCACCACAAACTTACTAAATCAGAAACCCTGGAGGTAAGGCTCAACAATCTGTTTTGGAAAAACACACCCTGAAGTTTGAAAATCACTAGTCTGAATCCTTGATATACAAAATATGGTCCTAAATCAACAGCATTGAACCCAGCAGCATTAGTGTCAGCTGGGAACATGCAAGAAATGCGTAATGTTGGGCTGCACCTCAGAGCTACTGAATCTGCAGTTGAACAGGATCCCCAGGTAATTCCTATGCACTTTGAAATTTGAAAATCAGTCCACGTGATGCCAATGCTGCTGATGCACTGACCACACTTTGGTGATAACGGTTGTTAGATCATCTTTCAAGGAGTTTCTCGCCCCTGTTTTATAAGTAGTAACACTTGTGCTATTATTGACTTGGTTTATTTTTAACTTAACCTCATGGTGGCTTGCTTCCCATAGAATGCTACCATACATACCCAGTTATGTTGTCATAGGCTGCCCCTTCCTTCCTCTCTCTCTTTCTCCCTCTCTTCCTGTCTCTCTCTCTCTCTTTTCCTCTCACCTCTCTCCCCTAACACAACCTGTACACAGATTGCTGGGTACTTCTCACCCACAATCCTATCCATTAAGGACCTTGGTGCATTCTTGTATTTGAGAAGTATTTCCCAACCTTTTTTCCCCCCTGTTATTGCCCTAATCACCTCCCATTCCAACAAAATTTTAAAATTCTCTTTATCCATAAGGTCCCAGACTGAGCTGGGGTCTTCAAGAATCCATCTAAAGATCTGTTGTTGTTGACTTTTGTCACAGTGTCCTGAGACCACTTCATGCTCTCCCCTTGAACCCAAGGAATCCTCCTTCATAGCTGTTTTTCTCTCCTGCAACAAAGAGGCTTTCCTCATTTTCAAGGCTTTTTCAATAACTTTCCACCTCTTCTAGAATCTTGCCCTAATTTTTCTTCTATTTTCTAATATTTTTTAATCTTTCTTCCTTCCCTAGATCCTTGTCTGCTGCATTCAGATAATGCACAAATCTTCCTTATCCCAGAAACATCTGCTGTCTGCTTAATTCACTTGCATTCATTCATTTCCATTCTTCTCAAAAGGTCGTCTATGCTTCTTTCTCTTTACCTGCACACCCTTAGCATGGTATTAGAGCATGTGATTTAGGGTCCCATGCACCTGGTTTTGAGTTCTGGTGCCCCTTTGAAGTCATTTTGTAATCTTTGTCAAATTACTTGATTTTTCCAAGTCTTAGTTATCATCTCTGTTAAATATAGGCCTTTAGGATTGCTTAGAGGAATATAATGATGAGGAAGCCCCACCACACAATCTGGCCCATAGGAAGTTCTGTACATTCATCTTTAGTAACTTTTTTTCTCAATCATTTATCTTTTAAATTTTGTTGTGACATTTTGTTAATCTATGTATAAATGGGATCAAACTGCAGTGCTTATTAAAAATAACTATATAGCTTATTCAGTACTATTTACATTTTTCACTGTTACCAATCAACTAACTTGATGTTGTTTTGGTCATTTTTAAAAGATACTCAAAGAAGGATTACAGAAATACACATATCCTCCAGAAACTACAGAAGACTTTGAGACAGAAAATGCTTTCCCACCTATAGAGGTCACTCTTGAGGTTCATGAGAATGTCATCTTTTTTGAGAATCCTATGGTTGTAAGGTGGGATGCTGAAGGTACAGCTTTTATAATTATGTAATAAAAAGAGGGTTAACAATAAAAACCTTAAATTGAAACAGGAAGTGTAGTGTATTAACTGAGCTTATTATTTTACATATTTCTTTGCCAATTCGAGGGTCTCGTTTTGTTTATTCTTAATGGAAATGAATAGGGGTTGGAGCTTAGAATTTGCTGAGTGTTGTAAATATTAACTCCTAAAGTATCTATATCTGCCATTGTCTATGAACAGTTACTTTATGGTTATACCGTTATGTTTCTAAAAAACAAGTTAAAGGCTGGGCACGGTGGCTCACGCCTGTAAATCCCAGCACTTTGGGAGGTCGAGGCAGGCAGATCACCTGAGCTCAGGAATTCAAGACCAGTCTGGGCAACATGGTGAAACCCCGCCTCTGTACTAAAACATTACAAAAATTAACCAGGCATGGTGATGTGCGCCTGTAATCCCAGCTACTTGCGAGTCTGAGGCATGAGAATCGCCTGAACCTGGGAGGTGGAGGTTGCCATGAACTGACATGGTGCCACCGCACTCCATCCTGGGCGACAGAGTGAGACTGTCTGTCTCAAAAAAACAAACAGGCCAGGCGTGGTGGCTCATGCCTGCAATCTCAGCACTTTGGGAGGCCGAGGCGGGTGGATCATCTGAGGTTAGGAGTTTGACATTAGCCTGGCCAACATGGTGAAATCTCGTCTCTACTAAAAATAGAAAATAAGCGGGGCGTCGTGGCACACACCTGTAATCCCAGCTACTCCACAGGCTGAGACGGACAATAGCTTGATCTTGGGAGGTGGAGGTTGCAGTGAGCCAAGATGACGCCACTGCACACCAGTCTGGGCCACAGAGCAAGACTTGTCTCAAAACAAAACAAACAGGCAAAAATGAGTGAAAATATTAAAATCAGGCCAGGCACTGTTACTCACGCCTGTAATCCCAGCACTTTGGGGGTGCCGAGGCAGGCGTATCACCTGAGGTCAAGAGTTCGAGACCAGCCTGGCCAACATAGTGAAACCCCATTTCTACTAAAAATATAAAAATTAATGGGGCATGGTGGCACATGCCTGTAGTCCCAGCTACTTGGGAGGCTGAGGCAGGAGAATTGCTTGAGCCTGGGAGGCGGAGGTTGCATTGAGCCGAGATTGCACCATTGCACTCCAGTGACAGAGCGAGACTCCCTCCATCTCAAAAAAAACAACAACAACAAAAAAGAAAAATATCAAAACAGTTTAGCAAATCAAAAACAGATAAAAACTCTACTCTTCTGGAATAACCAAATAGTTCAGATTTGGATAATTAATATTTGATTAATGTTATTTATAAATTGTACACAAGTATTGGGGATGAGCAAATGGGCAAATGGGAAACTTGAGAAATGGAAAATTAGCCACTTTTGTATACCTTTTATTTTTGAGCCGTGGGACATTATTGCTTATTCAAACTTAAATATTAATAAAATTGTAAGTATCTACAGTGATATAAGCTAATGATTTGTTAATCTTTAATAAATACCTCCTTTGGAGTAGGCTCACTGAATTTTGAGAGATCTTGGTCTGGTGAGTTAATATATGACATTTTAAGGATCCTGGATGAGAGTGCACCTTTGTTTTTAAGGTTTTTCTATATTCATCTGTTGGTGAAGGGATTTATATACTTGGTGATAGGCTGGGAACAAATATCACTAAGGCATAGAGCTTTTACATAATTACTTATTTAGTTATGGAAAATTTAGGAACAGAGAATTTAGGAATTTATATCAGGAAGTTTAAATATTTTGTTTTTTAAATTTTTTAATGAATGCTCTGGTGCTCTACATTTTTGTCTGTATAGACAGACATACAAGATATATTATTTATATTCTAGAAATAGTCTATGTATTAAAAACAGTAGGCCAGTCACAGTGGCTCACACCTGTAATCCCAGCACTTTGGGAGGCTGAGGTGCGTGGATTACTTGAGCTCAGGAGTTCAAGACCAGCCTGGGCAACATGGAGAAACCCCACCTCCACCAAAAGTACAAATATTAGCTAGGCATGGGGGCATGTGCCTGTAGTCCCAGCTATCCCAGAGGCTGAGATGGGAGCATTGTTTGAGCCCAGGAGGTTGAGGCTGCAGTGAGCAGTGATCGTGCCCCAGCACTCTGCGGGCGACAGAGTGAGACCCTGTCTCAAAAAACAAAAAATAAGTTTAAAAACCTAGTAAATTCTTACATATTAAACTATAAAATACATCAACATGAACAACTTTATCTCTTTTGATATAGTTTCACAGGTGTCGCTTTAATGGTAATATTCCTAAGTATTAACATATTCCTAATTAATTCACATTAATTGTTAACACAGCTGGGTGTGGTAGCTCACACCCAAAGTAATCCCAGGCCGATGCGGGTAGATCACCTGAGGTCAGGAGTTCGAGACCAACCTGGCCAACATGGCGAAACCCTGTCTCTACTAAAAAAAAGCCAGGCGTGGTGTCACGTGCCTATAATCCTAGCTATTCAGGGGGCTGAGGCAGGAGAATTCCTTGAACCTGGGAGGCGGAGGTTGTAGTGAGCTAAGATCGCACCGTTGCACTCAAGCCTGGGCCACAAGAGTGAAACTCCGTCTGAAAAAAAATTATTCACATGAAATTAGAATTAGACAAGGTAAATTATTCCACACAATTCAGGGAAATAAACTTGCGCAAAATTTCACTCTACAATTTCAGCAATTAGACAGCAGTAATTTACAACTCTAGTAATTTTTAAACCATGGGGAAACATTTTGCCTGGAAATACCAGCAATTTGGAGAATTTATTTATAGGTAATAACTTTTTACCTTATAAATTAAAATTATTTGCTAATGTAGAGACAAAAAGAGGAATTCAAAATAATTCTGTGAATGTAATTATATTTCTTATATGAAATCTAAGAGTAAAAACTAGTCAACAGAACCCTCCACTTGAGAACAGGAAAGAGAGCTAAGTAGAAATGGAGAGCACATACAGGAAGAAAATGGTTCATTTATTTGTCCTATAAAGATGACCCCTCTCCCACCCAAAAAAAAAGAAAGAAAGAAATACAGAGATAAATGAGGCATAGTTTCTTCCTCTTGGAGTTTCAAAGTTGTAGGAGAGGCAGACAGGAAAACACCATATTGTAATACAACGTAGTGGGGTGCTAGCATAGATGTAAAGCGCTGTAGAGCACGACAGAGATGGCTCAATCTTTAGAGTATTGGAAGGCTTCTCACAGGATGGAATGTTGAACAGGGCCCTCAAAGATGAAGAGAATGTTCGCGTGCAAGTCTCTGTGTGGTCATGTTTTCAGTTCAGTATGTACCTAAGAGTGAAATTGCTGGATTGAGTACTGAGTTTATATTTAACTTTCAAAGAAACTGCCAAATTGTTTTTCAAAGTAGCTGTACCATTTTACATGTCTGCCAGCAGTATATGAGGTTTTCTGTTTGTTCACAACATTTGTTCTCTTTTTGATTATAGCCATTCTAGTGGGTGTGAAGTAGTATCCCACTGTGGTTTTATTTCCCTAATTACTAATAATGTTGATCATCTTTTTAAGTACTTATTAGCCTTTCATATCTCTTCTTTGGTGAAATGTTTATGCAGATCATTTACCCACCTTTAAATTAGGTTGTGTTTTTTTATTGAGTTGTAAGAGATACAAAAGACCACCTACAGGAAGTACGTTAATCGTTGCCTGGGGCTGGAGGTGGGAATGGGAATTAACTGTAAATGGACATAAGAATCTTACTGAGGGGATAAAAATGTTCTAAAACTGGATTGTGGTGATGATTGCACAACTGGGTAAATTTACTAAAGATAATTGAAGTGTATACATAAAACACATGAATTTTGAAGTAATTTTAAAGCAAAGATGATGAGAATTTCCTGAAAGATTAGGGAAGAGTATTGTAGGAGGAAAGAACTATATGTGCAGAGGCCCAGAGGTGTACATACAGTGTTGTTAAGGAAAGAAAAAAAGTGGGGCTGAAAAGAGAAAAACTTTTTCCCTTGAGGAGTGGCAAGGGATGGAGCCAATAAAGTGAGTCAAGGCGTCATTCTGAAGGTCTTACCATGCTGAGGAGGTGGGACTTGATCCTGTAGGCAGGGGAATGTCTCAGCAAAGCTGGCCTTCTTTTGAGTGTCTGTTCTAAATATGAACAATCAATTTATACACAAAGCATTTTTTTTGGTGGTTTCATTTATCTTCTTTTTTTAAATAGGGAAAAATTGAAACTAGTGTCACTTTCTTCATTAATTATAAAGGTAAACATTGGAGAACTGATGGCATCAGCAATGTATCCTACAAACCAAAGGAAAGACTTGTAACATTCAGCCTGGACACCTTTGGCCCTGTTACCTTGATTCAAGATGCTCATATTAACATGCCGTACCAGTCATGGGAACTAAGACCACTTGATGTAAATAAAGTACTTTTAACTGTGACTACAGTATTTACTGAGATTCAGATACAAATTAAGGTGAGTTACTATTATAGTTGTTATATACTGTCATATCAGAGGTAAACCATTTTAATGGAATACTAGTTTGTCAAAAGCAATCAATGGCTGCTGATTTATATATTGAAATATGTGTCTTATAATCATTTATATAATGAAATATGTGACTTATTGAAATATGTGTCTTATAATTTATACATTGAAATGTGTCTTCAATTTATATATTGAAATATGTGTCTTCTAGCATCTAGCGTAGTCCTAGAATATAGTAGATACTTAGTAAACATTTATGATATATGAAGACACAAAGTAACTTCTAATCATGAAAAAATGTACCTTGAGCTATATTTCTAAATGAAATATTAGTAGAATAATTAAATAGGCAATAAACATGTAAATAGCAAGGCTCAAACTTAAATTTGTACCTTAAAGTTACTAGGGATAGATCTACTGATGAACCAACAACCCTGGTTGCAGTATGAATTTCAGAGTTTTTTGATCCACCCTAAAGGGGCTACCTGATCTTTGTCATCCAGCCATTTGAAATCCTTTTTGAGATTGGTTTCTCTCTCAATGATCCCCTATTGCTCATCAGTCAGAAATTATGTAGCCTGAGCTGGGGGCGGTGGCTCACGCCTGGAATCCCCACACTTTGGGAGGCCAAGGTAGGTGATCACCTGAGGTCAGCAGTTCGAGACCAGCCTGGCCAACATGGTGAAGCCCTGTTCTGTACTAAAAATACAAAAATTATCCAGGCATGGTGGCATGCACCTGTGATGCCATCTACTTGGGAGGCTCAGGCAGGAGAATTGCTTGAACCTGGGAGGCGGAGATTGCTGTGAGCTGAGATCGCACTGCTGCACTCCAGCCTGGGCAACAGAGTGAAACTCTATCTCAAAAAAAAAGAGAGAGAGAGAGAAAGAAAAAAAAAGGAAAGAGAAAGAAAGAAAAGAGAAAAGGAAGGAAGGTAGGAAGGAAGGACAAGGAAGGAAGGAAGAAAAGAAGAGAGAGAAAGAAAGAGAAAAAGAAAGAAAGGAAAAAGAAAGAAAAGAAAAAAGAAAAGAAATTACATAGCCTGAAATGTATGGAGACAAAAGTAGATTAGCCATTGCCTGGGGCTGAGGGTGGGTGGGGATTAACTGTAAATGAGCATGAGGGATCTTATTGGGAGGGATGAAAATGATCTAAAATGGATTTATGGTGATAGTTGTACCACTCTGTAAAGTTACTAAAAATCATTGAATTATAACTTGAAATAGGTGAATTTTATGATATGTAAAATATATCTTAATAAGTTGTTTTTAAAAACAGAGATAACCTAGAATTCATTATGAATACAGAAAGCCTAGAATATTATTAAACTTCGCTTTTAAAACTAGATGAGGGCTGGGTGCGGTGGCTCATGCCTGTAATCCCAGCACTTTGGGAGGCTGAAGTGGGTGGATCATGAGGTCAGGAGTTCGAGACCAGCCTGGCCAATATGGTGAAACCCCATCTCTACTAATAATACAAAAATTAGCTTGGTGTGTTGGCAGGTGCCTGTAGTCCCAGCTACTCGGGAGGCTGAGGCAGAAGAATCACTTGAACCCGGGAGGCGGAGGTTGCAGTGAGCCAAGATTGTGCCACTGCACTCCAGCCTGGGTGACAAAGCAAGACGCCGTCTCAGAAACAACAACAACAGCAACAACAAAAAACTAGATGAGATGGGAGATGGAATGCCTTAGAATCATTAGTGTGCAAGTGCCCTTAAAATGCTTCTGGTCTACCCTCCTGTTGTATATATAGAGAAACTAAGGCCCATAGAGATTAGGGGTTACATGACCTTTCTGAGATTGTGTAAGGGGATTGTATTGCTGGAGCCTCCTTTCAGGCTTCCCTGCACCATTCCAGCAGCCCTGACGACACTTGTGCAAAGGTTCTTCCTCTAGACTCATGGAAAAATAACAAGCATCTTCACAAAGTTCACTTATTAATATGATGATCGAAACACCCAAGACTGCTCAGTGTGCATTTTCAGGTTAGTAGATCTGTGCTGTCTAATGCGGTAGCGACCAGCCATATGTAGCTACTGCATGTGACTAGTCCAAGTTAGCACATGCTCTAACTGTAAAATAAACACAAATTTTGCACACTTGGTATGAAGAAAAGAATGCAAACTCTCATTAATAACTTCTATACTGATTACATATTGAAATATTTTAGATATAGTGGGTTAAATGAAATATTAACATTAAAAAAATGAGATGTGAATTCTACACACCTTCAAACTGTCACTTTGCGAGACTTTAAAACTGGATAATATTGCCTGATTATGTTAACTTTTATGAGTGTGAAAAGAATGATCCCTAAAAGTAGAATCATAATTGTTACCTAATAACTATTTTAATTCAATGTGAACATGTGCATATTCTTATAACTTATAAAATAGGAGGCTTGAGAGATGCTGTAGCCCATTCCTTTGATTGTTCTGATGAAGCCCAAAGAGTTGGTCAACTGCTTAAGGTAACATGGGGACTTTGTGTCAGAGCATTCAGATGAGGCCTAAGATATACTTGCCCTGCATTCTTTCTAGTATAGAGGGATAGATGATTTTTAAAAATGTATAAAGCATCTAAAGGCTGCACCTGGAGTGATACTGAAGTAATGGTTTCTTAAACCTACATAAACCCTTCTTTTTTCTTAAACTAGGAAAACCTCTGCATGTTATCTTCAGTCAAACTGAAAGACAAGAAACACATCTCTATTTTGGAAGGGACATGGATGACTCCTATTCCTTTCATTATTGCTTTGAAAGAAGCTGGACTGAATATTTTTCCTACTAGATACTCTCATTTTTATGTTGTTATCAACAATAAGGCAAGAATGAATCTTTCCAAATTTAATGTGGTAGGCATTTAAAATGTTAGCAATTACTAAATGTTATATAATTTAATATTATATACACTGTGTTTTATATGTTCATTTATACAGTATTATAGTTAGAAAGAAATAAGTGAAAAGACCAGAAATCCAGGGTTCTCTCAAGTTTAATAATTTTCCCTAAGTAAGCCTGTAGTACGATCTTCATATTGACAAATGGAGCATATCCACAGATGGTCAGTTTAGTGAAAAGGTAGTTTAAGCAGTTCTCATTTTGTATACTTTGTTTTTGCATTACTGGATATTATATAAGATTTCTTAAAATAGTAAATAACTCTGCACTTTCCCAAACGTGGTAAGTTAGGCACAATTAAGAATACAAGGACCACCAATGTACAAAACCCACTTCCTTTGGTTTCTTGGCAGAGCCTCCTTGTCTATGTACTGTTTCATGTTCCTCATAAGGCTTTAGTTCAGTAAGATCCTTCCAGGTTAAACTGTGAGCTTCTTGAGGATGGGGGTCATTTCTTAATCAACGTTGATTCTTCTAGCATCTAGCGTAGTCCTAAAGTATAGTAGATACTTAGTAAACATTTATGATATATGAAGACACAAAGTAACTTCTAATCATGAAAAGTGAATTTGTAGGCAGAAGAGTTCTATACTCAAGAACATTTATGAATGTATCAGAAAATGACAATATAAGTAGATATTCATATAACATTTAGAAATAATAAGTGTATGTACATATATGCATAGGAAAAAAACCCTTGGTTTTAGTAACTCAAATTGCCTGTTACTCTGTAATGTTGAATGTAGTGTTCTGTTCATGCTTTCAGAATATTCTACTCAAGGAAATACTATTTTCTGAACACTATGTTCTAGGCACTATTTTAGATGATTAGGATACATCAATGAATGAAACAAAGGTCCTTACCTTTGTTTCCCTTCCCAGTCAAAGGAAAAAATTTTTAAATAAATGATTAGTATGTTAAAAAGGTGAAAAGTGCTATGGGAAAAAGAAAAGATAGATCAGGAATAGTGAGGCTGAGGCCATATGACACCCATATTAAATAGGGTGTCAGGGAGGGCAGCTCAATGAGAGATAACACTTGAGCGAAACTCAAAGGTGGGGACTTTAGCCTCGTGCCTCATCTGGGGAAGCAGCTTCCTGGTAAACAACTGGAGCAAGATCCCTGAGGGAGTGGCCTGGGGTGCTGGAGGATTGGAGGAACACCAGGGAAACCATGGAGTCTGGAACTGAGAGAGCAAAGGGAGAAGAAAAAGAGGTCAGCAGGTAATGGGATATATGTGGAGTCGGGAGTAGGGATGTCAGAGGGCCGTGCAAGTCATTGTTAACTTTGGACTCTATTCTCAGAGAAAGGAAAGCCGTTGCCCAGTGTTGAGAGAGGAGTCATGTACTCTGATTTACAATTTCAAGTGGATCCTTCGGTGTTGAGAATAGACTGAAGGAGGCCAAAGATGGAGGAAGACTTGTAGGGAGGCTCAAAGATCAATTCTATTTGTTTTTACATTGACAGGTTCCTCTGGTAGAAGTGAAAGCTTATCGACAGATGGCCCTACTAAGTTCCACTTTTGCGTTTGGTTGGAGCAAGTGGAACCTACTATGTAATTCTACGAAAGTTGTATTTAAGGTATAATATGTAGAAACCCATAAAACTACTTTGTCCTCCAAAAGAAGATAAAGTACTCTAAGACTAAATGAATGTAGACCATGGCTTCCCCTCTTAGAAAAGTAAAAAAAAATTATTCAATATGAAGTTTTAAAATTTCAAATTTTTGGCCAAGCGCGGTGGCTCACACCTGTATTCCCAGCACTATGGGAGGCTGAGGCGGGCGGATCATCTGAGGTCGGGAGTTCAAGACCAGCCTGACCAACATGGTGAAACCCCATTTCTACCAAAAATACAAAATTAGCCAGATGTGGTGGCACATGCCTGTAATCCCAGCTACTCAGGAGGCTGAGGCAGGAGAATCGCTTGAACCTGAGAGGTGGAGGTTGTGGTGAACCAAGATTGTGCCATTGCACTCCAGCCTGGGCAACAAGAGCAAAACTCCATCTAAAAAAAAAAAAAAATTCATCAAAAATATAAATCCAAATTATATAAAATTTATGCCTTTGTTGTCCAAGCTCTTGACTTCAAGCCAGGCCAGAGTCCTTGTATCTCTTTACAAATTGACTCAAGAACAAATGGAAGCCTTGCCGGGTGCAGTGGCTCACACCTGTAATCCCAGCCACTTGGGAGGCTGAGGTAGAAGGATCGCTTGAGCCAGGAATTTGAGGCTGAAGTGAGCTATGATCACACCACTGCACCCCAGCCTGAACAACAGAGTGAGACCCCCATCTCTTTAAAAAAAGAACAAATGGAAGCTTTTAACATGAATATATCTGTGACTTACAGGCCCTCTCCTCTGAGAGGGTTAGTCCTCCAACTTAACTTCCTGATGCCTTGTTATCAGGTAGCAGTAACTATATCAAATTCTAAAAGCTGACTGATGAATGTTTTGGCCTAAACAGGCCACCATATTTATTTCTGTTTTTTATTGTGTGTTTCCCCCCCGACTCAAATATAAGCTCCTTGAGGGCAGGGCTTTGTTGTTGCAGTTGTTATTTATATATGTTGTATGTCTGTATGTTTTCTGTGTTTTCTTTCCCTGTTATATCCCCAGCACTTAGAACAGTACCTCACACATGATAGGCACTCAATAAATATTTGTTGCATGAATTAATACATGTGGATAGGCTCCATAATCACCAAAATATAAACAGTGTCATGGTTTTTCAAAACCCAGTAATGGAACATATAGACTGTTTCTTTTAACCTTTGCAATTTTAGGGGATAAATTGAGCCCTTCAAATAATAATCTACTATCAAAATACTGAATAGAAGAGAAATTATTAACAAGTTGCTTGAATTTCCTTTATTTATTTTTATTTTTTTTTTTATTTTTAGGTGAGGGAACACCTTCCTGAAGAATGTACTGAGAATCCTAATTGGGCCCTTTTAATGTTTAGTGGTGACAGAGCACAAAGACTCAAGATCAAGGAAGAGAGTGAGGCATTTTCTGAAGCGCTTAAAGAAGAAACTGAGTTTCATTCTACTTTATATCACATGGTGAGGGATTTCGCTTCTAAAGAAGCAATGGAGAAAGTCAGGAGTTCCAACTGTCAGTTTGTCAACTCTGTGTGCCACATGCTGCTCTCTACCAGATTGCTCAGCTACTCCTAACCTCCACTTACAAACTGTATTCAGTATGAAGAACCAAGCGTGGTGAAAGACAGGTATTTCTGCAACAGAATGTAATGAGTGAATGAATACATTTCACATCAACTATTAAAATTTTGTAGTCAGCATTTTCTACTCAAGTTTTATTTTAAACACAGTATGGCTTTTTTTCCTTTGAATACTTGGCCTGTTAAGAATTTCAACTTTCACTCTATGAAGATTTAAATGATTCTTTATTTCAATAAACTTTAACAAACAATATATAATAAAAGCTCATTCAAAGATCATAGGCAGACTTCTTCCCTGTTGTATTTTAGTTGGGGAGATAAAGGCAAAAAGAGGAAATGTAAGCTATCTTACAGTCATTCTGAGAACCTCTGGTTTCATGCTATACTTTCCCAGCTAAAAGTTACTAATTTACGAAGTTCAGATACTGAAACTTAAAAATCAAGATCCATATATTAGGATGTCCTGCTGTCACACTGGTGGTGGCCCATTGTGTCGGAGTCTGGTAAATGGCCACAAGATATGTTCTAGAGACGTCCATGAGTCCTCTTGCTGTGTGGGAGCAGCATCCACAGACTTCTGGAAAAATCGGCCTGTGAGGAAGCTCATCAAAGCTGCAAACAGTACAATGAATGCAATAGAAAGCCAGAGGGCCTTATTAGCCTTTCTGATGGAGGACTTGAGATTTGTTGCCCAGGAAGCTATTGTGTCATAACTATAAGGAAAACACAAACAGAATTTGATAATTGGTAATTTGTCATTAGAAACATTCCTTTTGCTAACACCACCAATCAGGTGATCTGTCCTCCATACCCACAAAACTGCCTTTTAATCTGCATATTATGATTTATCATTTTAGTTTTGGAAACAATTTGCCTCCCACCCTTTGTAACTATTAGGATTAAAGAAATGATGTGCTATGATGAGAATCTGAAAATTACGTGATGTAGGCATATCTTCTAACAAGTACATACAAGTATCTCATTCTTTCAGTAAGGTAAGGCAACATACTCCTACAGTGGAAACAAAATGTTCTTTGCTGGGTAGAGTGGATGTCTGTGTATATACTTATGTGTGTGTACAGTAGTCCCCCTTTGTTCTTGTGGGATAGGCTCCAAGACTGCCAATGGATGCCTGAAGCCGAAAATAGTACTAAACCCAGTATATACTGTTTTTTCCTATGGATACATGCCTATAATAAAATTGAATTTATAAATTAAGCACAGTAAAAGATGAACAATAACAAAATAGAATAATTTATAACAATATATTACAGTAGAAGTTATGTGAATGTAGTCTCTCTCTCAAAATAGGTAACATAGGTTCAAGGATAACTAGACATACAAAGTTTGTTGTTCATCTTAAATATAACAATTTGGCAAGTCTTTTAGTAATTTGGTTAAGATTAATACTGTCAGCCCTGCCTCACCCTTTCCCATTCCACTAAAATGGTAGAATTTATCAAGTAGATAACTTACACTGAAGAGACATCCCACTTTGATGGATTATTTTTCTTTTCAGAAAGACTTGGCTTCCTTGTCCTTTCTACTATTTCTTCTCCAGGTGGCTCTGAGTCATCTTTAGTTCTGTAAATAAATATTGTTTTTAATATTTGAAACTAAGGATAATATGCTATAATTATTCATAAAATATTGGTAAATCTTACTGTAACTCAAGAGACAAACAAATGTTCTGTTTTAGGGAAACTTGATAAATATCTAACTCTAAAAATCAAATCACCAGATTTATAACGTAAACCTTTTATAGAAATTTAATTAAAAATAAGTTCCTCTATTTAGAAAAATAATAAATGTGTAGAAAGTTAGAATATTAGCCAAGTATATACAAAAAGGGGAAATTTAAAAAGAACATTCTGAAGTTAGTCTCACCACTCATCATTAACCAATGTTATTACTATGATTTCTTTGTCTGCATGCATATATATATATATATGCATGTTTAACCATACTTTATTAAACACTTTAATCTCAGCACTTTGGGAGGCCAAGGAAGGGGACTCCTCCCAAGGATCTCAGGATTCCAGGGATTGCTTGAGCCCTGGAGTTGGAGGCTGTAGTGAGCTATGGTTGCACCACTGCACCCCAGCCTAGGCAACAGAGTCAGACTCTTGTCTCTTAAAAAATATATATATATATTCTATATACACATTTATAGATTATATACACATTTATATTGTACATCATGCATATATGTATTTATATAATACATATTTATATTTTTATATACTACATAACATTTATATTTTTTATATGTGTGCATATATATAAATATATGTATGTATAATTTTTTTTAAGAGACAGAGTGTTGCTATACTGAAGTACAGTATATATAAATATATACTATATATAGACATATTTATATATAATATATACATATTTACATATATAATATGTACACATATTTATACTATTCAAAGCTTATAATATAGAATATGTATATATTATATGTGTATATATAGTATATATATTTTATATATGGGTATGTACATACACCTGTGTGTGTGCGTGTGTGTATGTGTATATATAAAACAAATGTGGACACCATATTTCTTCCTTTTAAATTTGATTGTATTTAACATTAGTAAAAATCTTTTCTCATTATTATTGAATGTATTCCTTTCTCTGTATGATTTCCAATCAGTGCTAACTTGGAGTAACATCAGAGTTTATTTTTTTCTCTGAAAATCTTAATAATTTAAAAAGTGTTTTTGAAAATATTCTCAATGTAAAACGAGTTAAAATAAAAGGTTAGTTAAAATAAATTAGTATTCAGTGAACTGGGAAATAGCAATTGATTGACTGCATTTTAAATCAAATCATATTATTTAAAGAGGTGTTCCTCCACCTAAGCAAAACGTAATTGTTCCACTATATTTGCTGATGAGTTCTGAGTTGGATTTGAATTTTGAAATCTCAAGCTTATAATACCCTGAGAATTGCCAAAGGGAAATGTGTCTCAAAGATCTTTTTTTTTTCATTCAAACATCTATAGGAAATAAATATGATAGACGTTAGTTTTTAAAGAAAACAAGACCCAAAAGCCAGGATTAATTGCATTTCTATAAGATTCTCAAGGTTTCAGTCTTTTGTTTACAAAGACTTCTCAGTGGAAATCATACCATACTAACAAAAAGCAAAAACTAGATAATCTTTTGAAGGAGACTCTTGAACTGATTTTTTTTTTTCCCAACCAGCTCAAAAAAGATTCATTATGTTAACTCTAAATCTGAAAAGAGTTGTAACACATGCAGTAGGCAACCAGGACTTTAAGGAAAAAAAAAAAGAAAAGAAACCAAAACAGATTATCTGAAGTTTGCACCATGTCATGCTCATCTTTATATTCCTTAGAATTAAGCAGAGTATTCATCACATGGTAGGCACTCATGAAAATGTATAAAATAAGCATAAAATCATCTCCTTAAGATCCCTCACTTTAACAGATATGAAAACTGAGACCAACTAAGGTTAGGCACTTTTTCTAATGTCACCCAAGGACTTAGAGGTAGCATTTCTGCATATCCCTCCTTCTTGCCCTCTACCTTTCACTATAGGAGTATACTTGTTTAGTTTGCTAGATACAGAGATAGCAATTCAGCATTCCTCTACTCTTCATTTACATAAATGGTAGATGTACATACATGTTACATATGTGCCTATGTTATATAATACATATGTTATATATCTCATGTTTTAAATATATATATATAAATAGATGGACATTTTACTTCTGTGGCTCTTTATTGACCTTTCCCCATTATGGACAGACACCTGGACAGGAAAAAAATTATCTTCACAAATATGGCAAATTCCAGGGTCTTTTCTAACTTAAGACCTCAAACTTTGCCATTCTGAGAGCTATGAGAGTGAATGTATTACTATTCAGAAATCACATTTCTATTGTGCTTTAGTTTATAAAAGCATTTTACAATGAATTATCTTTTTAATGATACAGCATTATTGCATCTCCGTGGAATAAAAGTGATTCCCACTGTTTATGTCCCAGTTCATGTCAGATTAATAAACACACTGAGCTTCACCTACTTTAGTTCACATTTTTCTTCTTCAGCATCTGCCCAGGAATAGGTGCTAATAAATCGAGGTAATGAGGGACGGTGTTCACTCTGCTTTGACCCCAAAATACGCCTAAATAAAGATTATAGCCACTTGTCAAATCAAATACATCTGTCGCCATTATCAATTTATTTCCTACTGCTTAAATAAATACAAAATTATATGTCCTAATTTTTTTTTCTTGGCACATTCACAGATTTCCTACTTCATGATAAAAAACTTCATAATTATATACCAATTTACATAATTATTCTGTTTACACTTTGTACAAATCAAATATTACTATATCACTTAATTGAAACACTCATTTAGTTTAGCCCAAGTATAAAATAGTAAGATTCCCAAAGAGGAACCATAAAATTACACTTACCAACTGCTTGACCTCCTACTGAATCGATCATTATTTTCCATCCCAGCCACCTTTAGAAGTTCAAATGTTAAAAGAAATGATAAAATATACGTTTATATTTTCTGTCATATGAAAATGAATTTACCTTTGACTAAGAACACTTAGGAATTGTCTTACCATTCCTGCATTTCCAATATTTCTGGGTAAAGAGGCAATAGTCACTCTTCGAAGAGAAGGTGGCTACCAGAAGGAGGAAAGTGTACATTTAGAAAACTCTCAATAATTTATCATTGTATGCAGCACCAATGAATATCCTTGCACATGCACATCCATGCACTTGACCACTGCTGAATTAAACAGTAGACATATCTTATAGGATCGTCTTGTGGCCAAATTGTCTTCCAGAACTATTTTACCAGTTTATATTCCACCTAACTCAATGTTGGATTATTATAATTTATGCCAATCAAACAAATATAAGATTTCTTGTTTGGGTTTGCAATTATTTGACTTCTAGTAACATTGAACGTTGCTTTTCTACGTTAAATAATCATGTGTTTATCTTCTCTGAGAACCACCTGTTTATGTTTACCACCTTTGTCTATATTAATTTTGTTTATATTGAATTTTGTCTAAATTGAATTTTCATATTTCTGGCAGAAATGTTT